CAGGCCAGGCCGTGGCCCGGGCGGGGGCCGCAGGCAGCGCGGGTGCCGGTGCCACAGGTGCAGTGGGACTGCATGAACCCCAAGTACAAGATCAAAAAGCGCAACTACAAGAATTCGGGGGTGGTGGTGCTGCTGGACCTGAAGGTGAGCACCTGTGCCGGGCTGTGCCGAGGCTCTGTGGGCCGGCATGGGGCAGGGCTGCCTGACACGGCTCCCTCTGGAAGATCCACAGGGTTTACTCCTTCCTGGATTACATCATGGGCGGCTGCCAGATCCATTTCACGGTGAGCAGCGGCCTCCCCTCCCAGCCAGCAGGGACACACCAGCAGCCCTGCTCACCCTGGTGGCCCCCACTGCCCCCCACCAGGTGGCCATCGACTTCACGGCCTCCAACGGGGACCCCCGGAACAGCTGCTCCCTGCACTACATCAACCCCTACCAGCCCAATGAGTACCTCAAGGCGCTGGTGGCTGTGGGTGAGATCTGCCAGGACTATGACAGGTCGGTGGCTCTGGGGGTCCCCGGGGCCGCACACATCGGTGACGTCCCCCTTGGGGTCAGAGCTGCTGGTGACAGGCACTCAGTGGTGGCACACCCCTTTCCTTGCAGCGATAAGAAGTTCTCGGCTCTGGGCTTTGGTGCCAGGATCCCCCCCAAGTATGAGGTGAGGGGGTCTCAGGCTGCCAGGGCCCTGTGGCACCCCAGGGATGAGCTCGTCCCTCTGGGTGCCCTCGGCTGTGGCACAGGTGGCGTTTGGCAGATGCCGGGGGTGCACCAGTTGCTCCTTCCCCTCCCTCCCCTCAGGTCTCCCACGACTTCGCCATCAACTTCAACCCCGACAATGATGAGTGTGAGGGTGAGTCCAGCTCCAGAGGGGCGGGATCCATGGCTGGGACACCCCTCACCTCTCGTACACCCCACAGGCATCCAGGGCGTTGTGGAGTCCTACCAGAGCTGCCTGCCCAAAATCCAGCTCTACGGCCCCACCAACGTGGCTCCCATCATCTCCAAGGTGGCTCGCGTGGCGGCCGACGAGGAGCGGACCAAGGAGGCGTCGGTGGGTGCCAGGGCGGGGCTGAGGCCTCGCACACTCGTGACACTCGTGGCTGCTCCGGCAGCGGGGTCAGGCAGCCCCCCGAGCATCCCTGTTCCCCCAGCAATACTTCATCCTGCTGATCCTGACGGACGGCGTGGTGACGGACATGGCGGACACGCGGGAGGCCATCGTCCGCGCCTCCTACCTGCCCATGTCCATCATCATCGTCGGCGTGGGCAATGCCGACTTCACGGACATGCAGATCCTGGACGGGGACGACGGCGTCCTGCGCTCCCCCAAGGGCGAGCCCGTCCTGCGCGACATCGTCCAGTTCGTCCCGTTCCGCGAGTTCAAGAACGTGAGTGGGGCAGCGAGAGCTCCTGCCTTCCATTCCCAGCCCTGCCCTCCCCTCCCGTCCTCTCCCGTGCCTTTCCATCCCCTCCCGTGCCACCCCAGACCTGTCCTGTCCCTTCTTTCCCTCTCCCATCCATCTCCTCCCCTCTCATCCCCTCCTGTCCCCTCCCCATGTCATGGCTCACCCCGGTGTCCCCGGTGTCCCCAGGCGTCACCCACAGCCCTGGCGAAGTGCGTGC